ACTTTTGTGGCACCACAATTTGAGCGATGGCAGTGATGTCCGCTGCGCAATTCAGACGATTCTGCAACACTTGCCACACCTCAATTCCTATTCAAGGGGACCATCATAGCAGATACAAGTTGTATTGTGTTGCCTTTGTGCATACCGCGAATGCTATTGCACTGTGCGCAGGCAGGGGAAACGCCTCTCATGCAAGCATGCATGGTAGACAACGGTGCCAGGGCGGAAGAGATTGTGAAGATTCTGTTGGACCATGGAGCAGATGTAGTTGGGGCGGACAAGGTGGGCAAGCTGGCCCAGTGCGACAATAGATTTTATTTCTGTTTTACAACGTGTGACATCACGTTTGGATCTCTAGGATATGCACCCAGTTTTCTCTTTTCTGTTGGCAGTAACCAGGCTTGGTCTTTGCAGCAGAAACAATGATCATATTATATTTACGTTTTTATGCGTAAAAATAGTATGTACCTTATCACACCTAAAACCGCGCAAACATTGCATAAATTGGGAATCTTTATACATAAAGACACTACATGCAGTCTCAGGGAGTCCGGGGATTGGCAGCTAGATACGCTGGAATGGGCAGAAACGACCTTTTGCCCGACCACATTTTGCCCTTGCCAAGCTCGAGGTGGACGCTGTGACGTGGATGCTTGAGGAGGCTGAGGACTGATCATTGTAAGCGACTTCATCATTTGGTGTTGGTGTCTCAACGAGCCGTAAAAATACGTATATGCAACTGTAAAATAGTCCCTTTTACTATTTACCTTTAAACGTGTAAAACCGTAAGGCATAAACACAAAGACCAAGCCTGGCAGTAACTGCTCTCTTTGTGGAAGTTGTGAAGAACACGAAATTTCAATATCATTTTCATTGTGCATTGAGTAGCAGTACGTCACAGTTCGCCGCAGCAATGTTGGACAATTTGGTGTTCTGCAAATGCATACTTTTACCGGAAAATGTTTGCGCTGAAAAGAATCGCGTATTTCGCGGAAAGAAAAGTTGGCGTGGAAAAAGTTGCCAAACTTCATACCATTCCAAGGAGCTATGAAGCTCAACACCTCGTTGGCAAATGCGGGACATGACAACTCGAAAGTTCAGTAATTTGCTAGTTTTCATGTTTGTTGCTCTGGTGTGCACGCAGTAAGAACATATATGTCATGCATGTGCCATTACAGTACATAGACATGACATTTGCCCACATCGTGGACACCTTGCTGATGTGCACTGTACTGGCTGAACCTAGAAACTCTTAATTTCCATAATCGACCTGCTCAGTTTCTAAACTATTTTCGATTATTTGGGTTGGAGACGTGCATTTCAATGAGGAAACTGTGGAAGGAAAACTGTACATATTGCAAGGCTGCCAGTGGCAAGTGTGGTGAGCCTCCCAATGTCTGCAGCCAACCATTTTGAACAGATATCTGAGTGGCAGTGCGCAATGTGCTGCTGTCAGTGATGCGCCCGTTGAAACTCGTTGAAGCATGAATCGATCCATGCTGGTGCACATCATGTGCTTTGGGCCCTGAGTGCCCTTTGACATCATTGTTGTCGTGTATGTTCACAGAACGGCCTAACAGCCCTCATTGGGGCAGCAGAAAAAGGCCACTCGAGCACGGCAGCACTGCTGTTGGAAAAGGGGGCATGGGTGGACCAGGCCGACAAGGTGAGACTGCGATGCCTGTCTTCTTCCTCAGCAGGGCCAGCATATGTGCATGTACTTGTGTTTTGTCCAGAACCTGAACATTAGCACTGCTGCCAGCTCAGGAATTGCATCCAACTGGTAGAGCCCCGTTGTTGAGTGGGCACTGGCCAATATGATGGAAGTCTGTGGTGCATGTGCCTACATGTCCAAAATTGGTGTGTTGGGGTTGCAAATCAATCCACAGTGGTGCCTGTCAAATAGTTTGGGTTCCGAGAGCCGTTTGACATCCTTGTCATTGCGTGATGCACAGGAGGGCCATGTTTGTGCAGTTGCACCATCGATACAGCTCTGCTGTTTCATTGCCTACTGATGTTTAGGTATAGTGTGTACTCAGCCTGATAATGTTTGTTACTGGCCTGATGTTCTGCTGTGATATCTAGAATTTGTCGACACCTCTCATCTTTGCAGCAAAAGGTGGCCATGATGCCACTGCTTCGTTGCTTGTTGGTCGTGGAGCATCGGTGAATCACTGTGACAAGGTGAGAAACCATGCTCTCACGTTCATTTGTGTTCTGATGAACACGAACTACTGCTGTCAGCCATTCTTCAGAAAATACACATTGCTCGCCCAACCATGCTCACTCGAGTGGTGCACATACACGCCATTACCCTTTTGCCAGTTTGCAGCCACCAGGTGGAAACTTGCAACGTGGCAATTCTTTGTCCCGGCAACCCATTCCGTCACCACGCACTCCTCACTTTTACGAACGGGTGCCAGCCTCGTAGATGCTCCTCCTCGCCTCTGGCAGAGACAGCAGGTATTACCTTTTTGCGGCAGCCTATCGACCTTGTTAATAGATACACAAACAGACATTAAGAGCCATCTGATAATACCCTCACGCCATTGAGGGTTGGTGGAGGTAGCGCCAAGCTTTTAGTTAAAGCACCACGCTGGAGTCGACTCCAGCGCATATCAAGCCAAGGGACATTGCCTTCTAAACCACCATTCCTAGTCGGCCAAGAGTAATTTCAAAAGCTCCCCCCAGCTTCGTTTCCCGAAGTGAACATCGCATCGAGCGACCAGTTGCGTCGATTGCCTTGAACAGATTTATTTGCATTGGCTCCCCCCACCCCATACATCCCACCCTGATCCCCCTCCCAGACGCGACTCGAGCCTTTGAGTTTGCTATGTTCATCTGCAAGCGCATTGCATGATTGACCTACAATGAAAGGGATTAGGTGCCACAGTGTAATGTTGGCAAAATGGCATTGAACATCTGTTGTATGATCCAAGGCTTGTGTGAGGAAGGTTGACACACTCATAGGTTGAATAACGTTGACAGCATGCAGTAACTGCAGATGTGGAGCAACTACAGCAGGAGCTGTCCTATGATATGTTGAATTCAACAATTTCGAAAGGGATTGCCAAATTAAATGAACTGGATGTGTAGGACAGCCGCACCCCTCTCTGGTATGCTACACAAGGTCGCAGCGGAGAAGTCATTGCACTGTTGATGAGGAATGGTGCTCGCATGGTAAGACGTGTGCTGAATGTTCTGTGTGGAAAATCTGGTTTGCTCTTGTTCTGAAGCACAGAATTTTGTTTGCGTTGTAGTTTCTGTGCATAGTGGAAGTCCCTCTGCTGAATCTTTAAGGCCCAGTCTGGCAGAGCATCGGCGATGTGCATTGGTCCCATGTCATGGTCTGAGCTCCAGCTTCGTTCCAGTGGTGCTGGACACCAAAATTGTTTGCACTCAAAATCTATTTGCACTTGGCAAGGCATTGAGCAGATGCTCAGGTTGGGACTGGCCATTCAGGATATTGTCATATGACCCTGAAAGGCTCAGCCTTGTGAACCTATGACTTTTACTGGGTGTCTTGCGTGGACCTGTCAAATACCTGTTGGCTTTCCATGAGTGTTCGAGGTCTAGACGCCTTTTCCGTATCGCAGTGGGTGTGGTGTGGAAATGGTGATTTTTTGCCAGGAAGCTGCCCTGTTGTTGATGTGCAATATGGAACTCAGTCCTGACGTCTGCCTTGCTTCAACTACCTTGCTTGAGACGATTGCATTCTGTGCTGACAGTTGAGACAGGAATCATGGTATGCTGATCCTGGTGCGCAAATAGGAAGCACATCTGGGAAGTTGAGGCTGCCAACAAGCCAACGTCCCCCATTCCCAGATACACCATGCATGTATATTCTCCTATTCCCCTCACTTGTACATTTCCCACTTGTGAATGTTCGTATCACTGAGCCATGTTGATTACAGCACCCAGTGGGTGGCGTCCACCCATTCTGTGCACAAAGAGCAGCAACCACACTGGTACTTCCTGTTCCGGGGGGTTCTATTTGGCCCACATACAAGGAAATCTATTTAAACGCGGAGGGGAGCTTCCAGGTAGTGAAAGCCATCTGTACAGCATCTTATTCCTGTCAATTTCAGTAGAATTGAAGAAGTGGAAATGGACAACACATCAGTGCCACTGACATCTGAGGGCTGGCATTAAGCAAGCTGTGTTTTTCTTTGTAGGAGAGCCTCGCATACAATTCTGGAATTGTGACATTTCTTCAGAAGCAAATGATGATAGTCAAAGGCATTGATGGTGATGAAGAGTCGAAAAGCATTTTGCAAAGGGGAGATCGGTTCGCTCAAAAACATGAAATACCCTTCTCTCTGAAGAATTTCTACACAGTACATGACACACGAGCAGCAGCCCAATCAATCTGTTTGGCGCTGCGAAACAGCAAATGTGTAAGAAACAGAGGTCTCCAGTCCCAGATTAAGGCAGTCATACCAGAAAGCATCATCACCAATGACAGGGAGCATTTGCGTGACATGCTCTCCTATGTTCTGATGGGCAAGGCATGCCGCAGTGCCAGTACGGGGCTGCTGCACAAGTGGGAAGATGCCAGAGATAAGCATGACAAGTGGAAAGTGCGTTGGGTAGTTCCTGAGGAAGCAGTTCAGGTTGAAGAAAAAGAGTTGGGACGAGGTGGCCAGGGATGTGTGCACGAATGCTGGTATGAGGGTAAATTGGCCGCTGTGAAACAGCCAACATCCTACAAGAAGGACCTGCACATTGACGATTTTGCTGAGTTGCTCAAAGAGGCCTACTGGCATTCAGAGCTGAGTCCCTTGCACGCACCCCAGCTGTTTGCGATCACCAAGTCAGGCTGGATTGTCATGGAATTAGCTGACAAGGACTTGCACACACTGTGCCAGGAGCAAGACATTGGTTGGGCAAGAAAACTTCTCCTTCTTCAGAAAGGCGCGTTTGCACTGATGTACTTTCACAGCCACCGAATTGTTCACGGTGATCCGAAGACCCTCAATTTTCTGGTTTTTGAATCCCATCGAGATGAATGTGATGTGAAGCTTGCAGATTTTGGCTTGGCAACTGAAGAAACCGCCACAAGATGCCTGACAGTGAGGCTTGGAGGGGGTACAGATGTTTATTTGGCCCCTGAAGTGTACCGCAACGAAGTGCCAACCATGGCTTCGGATGTCTATGTCTTTGGCGTCAGTATGTATGAGGTCATAACAGGCAAACAACCATATTCTGTTGAGGGTCAGCCCTTTAATCCACAAGCCATCATGATGAGGAAAGCCTTCGGACAAATGGAACCTTGCAGCGTTGCCCTAGAGGATTGTCCAGAGGAGATGCACATTCTGATGAAGAAGAGCTGTCAATTGGATCCTGGGGCGAGACCAACCATCCAAGAGGTTTATGATCAACTGTCAGCAATGCCCAAGTCTTGGGTGCACGCGGTGAGTTCTGCTGCCTTGTGTATTGCAAGTGTCACAGCGTCCAAGAAGCCCTATTGAGCCTGAAATGAAAACAAAATTCGTTGCTATCACAGGGCTCCTGATGTATTTTAGCTGTGACACATATGGTGGCAATTTTTTGGGCAGTTGTTTGTCTGCAAGTTCTGTGTTAATGCCTACCCACCTGTCTTGTTTATTAAAGTAATTTGGTACTGGCATCAAGCACATGAAGAAGGCTTTCCATCGAATGTTTTGTTGTTGTTTCAGTATGTTTGCCCGTGTTGCGCTTGTGTGACTGCTGACCCACTGAGAACTGCACAACGCTTGTGGCCGGCCAGCTGATCCTACATTGGGCAGCTCTCTCATCTGGTCTGCATCAAGCTATGGCTTGTGCAGCCTTCATTCAGTCACACACTACCAATGCGGGTCGCGGGTGCTTAGCCAGAATCTCTGATCTCATCCCATGGCTGCCGCCGGGTCCAATGTGGCAGCAGAGCCCACATGGTAGAGGGTCACGCGACTCTCAGCACCCTGGTGCCCTCCCACCGGTCCCCCGGCAGTGCCGTCGGTCCATGGCACTGGCGCATGGCAGTGCGGGGACTTGAGAGTTGGCATGGAATTCTATTGTTACAGCGGGCGTCTACCTCTTGAGACAGCTCCAGATCGTTCGTTGTTCGCACACCTAACCACATGCCCCTACACTCCATGCCCAACCTGTGTTTTAGTTCAATCCTTGAACCTCCTTTTCCTTCGTTAAATCTAATCCCGCTTCAAAACTTTCCAGCCATGCAGTTACTGGAACACAACTAGCGCACATTCCTTGTTGGCCTAGTGCACATGGCAGTGTCCTGTATTCTGCTTTTCTCACCTCCGCTTGTTCCAGGGGTGGAGGGGGGGAATTGAGGCCCCACAGACATCCTTGGCAATTGCAAGACAGATGCATGCCTTGTGGACCATGGATATTGCTCTAGACTTCACACTATTCAATAAATGGGCATCTCTGTTGCAGATTATCAACGATTCTCAGTTGTAGCTCGTCTCTTAGAAATTTCTTCTGACACTCGTGCCACTTGTCCATGTTGCCCCTGTTTCAGTTGGTGTACAGTTTTGTGGCAGTGATGTCCATAATGTACTGGAGGAAGTCCCAACAGCTTTTGTTGCTAAACCTAAACCTGTAGCACAACGGCCTGTTAGGGCACATCTACTGCCACTGTTGGAGGGTGGGGAGTTGTTGAAGCATTGGAAACTGTGGATCACAGAATGTTATCTGATGGCTGGACCAGAGGAACGGCGACTGGAGTAACAATTGTGTTGTGGAGAAATGTTTGTCCATGGTAGTATTGGTCCTCATATCTGGTGCAGAATAGCGTAGACTGGTCTGAATATTGCAATTCAAGGCAAACTCAGGGCAGCAATATGATCCTTCGCATACACAGCATACCCATTCATTGGATTGCCGTACTCACCCCACTATTCTGCTGCGTTGTGACTAATCAGGGCTCATATGTGGAGAAGCTCACTGCAATTGTTGAGGAGGCCGAGAAGGAGGTTGAGCATGCTCTGTACAACAAGGAAATGCTTCTGTTTTTGTATCAGCAGATGCAAAAGGTCAAGGAGATGAAGGACATATCTATCCAGGCATCAAACGAGAGTGTCCCAGAGGCATTCGAATTTTTGAAAGTAAATTTGCTTCTGGGGACGAAGCTGATCAAGCATCACTCGTGTGAGTTTATTCAGCGGTGTTTTTACCCCATCAGAGAGGCCAAACCCATTATCCAGAAGATCTGCACAGACTGCAGGACTGCTATTCACAAACTCAAATGCAGTTCCTGCGAAGATATTGTGTGCAAAATCCCGAAAAAGTGTGTGGATGAGGATAAACTTGCCATGGGAAACATTCTTGGGTACATCTTGGGGGAATCAGATGCACCTTTGCAAGATGCATGGACAGAATGGAAGCCAGTGAAGGACAGAAATGCAAAGCTGTTGCACCAAATGCAGCCCACATGCAATGATGAAATTCCCTTGCAGGATGAGTTTGAGGATGATGATGTCGAGGTCTATGAAGCAGAGTGGGAAGGAAGCAATGTGATGGTGAAATTCCAGCATCCTACTCGTGACAGAGTTGCATGTTTGGAGAGTTTTGCCGAGGTTTGCTCATTCCTTGCCCTTCACGCTTGCAAGAAAAGCGCACACATTGCCAGTGTGGTTGCTTACTCCAAGTCGGGCTCAGTGGTGCTAAAAGGGGGGGGAGCAGATTTGGTCGGATGGTATCAGAACCAGAGCAATGGTTTGTCCTGGGAGTCAAGGATTTATGTCATGTGGCAAGCCTCAGCTGCGATGGACCAGCTGCACAGTGGCCCAACTGTACTCGCCCACAGTAGATTGAAGACCAGGTGCTTCCTTGTGGATGACATTGAGAAGGAATTTCCGCATGTCACACTCTGTTGCTTCAAGCTGGCAAGTTGCGAGCCCGATGCCCAGAAGATTGAGGTGCAACAGCCAACGAGGGGTGGTTGTCCGTTCGATGCCCCAGAACTGCGCAGGGGGGAGCCTTGCACTATCAGGTGTGACGTCTACAGCTTTGGTTTGATTCTGTGGGAGCTCGCGGTGCAGATGCTACCAAATGAGATGGACTATCGTCACCAGGGCATTGGTCCTGAGAAACTGCTGAGAGAGCTTCCTACTGACTGCCCTCCACAGCTGAGGTCATTGATCGAAAGCTGTTTGTCACCCACGCCTTCGAAGAGGCCAAGGATGTGCGACCTGAAGAGTGAATTGAAAGCTCTCAAGGATGAAGTCCAAGGTCGAAATCCTTCTGCCATCTAAAGAGTCCCATCAGTGCATCATCCACATGGAAAGTTGGAGAAGGTCCAGGCAATTTTCAGGCAGGGTACATTTCTGTGTTTGGGCTGACGGCGACCGTCATGACTCATGCCCATGCAGTAGGCCAATGCTAAAGTGCCCTTTGGCCTGCATGGAACAGAAAGTAGATTGTAGTTGTGGTGACAGCGTTGATGCTGAGGAGACGGTTGGGGCTGAATGTACAGGGGTAGTGACATGGGAACAGGGTAGCAGTCTTCAGCGAGAGGCACTAGGAAGCTGCAGTAGAGGGTGCAAGGCCAGATGGAAGGAAAAGGGACTAGGTGAATTAGCGAATGTAGAAAGGAAGTGTAAATATTTTAACAAGATCGTGGCCATGCCATGGGCAGACCTCTCCGGAGGGCAGCAGTGAAGAATCGACTTGAACCCAGTCGAATGGGGGTGATTTCGAGCGACGAAACGGCCAGAGACGCACAGGCCGATCGTCTCATGCCAAACGCACACAGGGCCTAAGTCCCTCCCTCGAAAGGGATGCTCACTTGGCCTCTCAGGTCCTCTCCATAGCCGGTGAGGAGGCCTGGCTGGCTGCAGTGGCCGTAGCCAAACGAGTTGCAGACCGAGAGCGGCCTACATTGCCAGCTCGTCGGATTATATATAAGTTCGTGTTCATTCTCAGCCACACACACCGCAGAATATGCTCCATAAGATTCCCTACTATCTGTCTTGTAATGCCTTACACTATTCACATCAGAACCCTTTCAGTACTTGAAGTCCCATCACTATACAGCCCCTAAGGGCCGTCCAAATCCAACTAAATCCTCCACCTAGTGTCCAGTCACCCCATATGTTCCATAGTGTACACATTGGACACTGATTCCCACTAGATTTTTTCACTTAAAGTTCCACTAAACCCTATTGCCATCACGCTGCCGCTGCTGACCTGGAAGATTCCGGATGGGTTCCTAGTACATCATATTCACCATGAAATTTCATAGAAAACATAGTGCAATATTTCGTCAAGTCCCTTCACTTGAAATGACGGTCAAACAGAGTGTACCACACAGCTTCCGCTTGCTCAACACATTGCTATCAGTGTATCCATCAAGTCTGACTGCATTCACACCGAATCCTGCATGTACCACAATCAGCTTGTTGCGTATGATTGTCTTCACTCGCCAAAGAACAGGCGTGTTCTGCTCCATTCTGACAGACGCCGCCACAATTTCCCTAGCCACCACCCTCCATGACGGTTCCATTCCTCGATATGCCATAGAATCAAGTCTGCAAAGGATCTCGGACTTGAGAAGTGGCGGGAAATCTTGTATGTCAAACAACATTTCGAAGGTTGCTGTGGCATTTTTGATGATATCGCACAGCTTGAGGTCTTGGTCAAGGGCAGCATCCCACTCCTGCAGCAACATCGTCTGGAGATCGTTTGCCCTCTTCCATTCAACGTTCCACACCATCCTTCCGACAGCCCCCATTGTATCACTCGTTTCTCCTGGAATTCTTCCAGCTCGGACGACAGATCTTTGACATCCTGGGGGGATGGGAACCCTAGGTCCCTTCGCCATGCAAACACAGCCGACGTCCGCCCGTCCAGGCCGTTGTCATCCAGCGACACAGCCATGGTGGCGCAATCTGCGGAGATCTCGCATGGCATGCGCAAATCCGCGCATATCTTATCACAAACTAACCTATCTTAAGGCTACACTTGACAGCAGTCTCCACCATCCCTAAAATACTTTAACCACTATCTCTTTCTAGCAACACCTAGCCTTTTGGTCCTAAAAACCCTCAAAAGTTCGTTAGAAACAAAGGTTGTTTCTTAGGGTCCACTTATTTTGTTCTTTTCAGGACCCTAGATTTTCCAAAACTTATCAAAAAGACATAAATCTGGTACTATTTGTTCGGGTCGCCAATCTTTGAAAAAATGAAAAAAACATAAGACAGCTTAGTATACACCTCGAATAGCTGGCGCCCCGTGAGGCCCAGAACTCCGTGGACAAGGGAGCAAACCACAAAATCTGGTATTGACTATATCTGGAGAGGTCACATCACCCATCGCATTAGTGACATCGACTGCCCAAGGCCACGGGATGCAGTATCGCCAGAGACATCCAGTCTTTGCTCAATATGCATGCGGTACACCGCCCGATTCTGACAGAGTGGCGTCACTGAACTAGTCTGACAATCGAGAATACGCCCTAACTATGATTGATCCCCACGCCGGCCGAATGGCCCTCGACAACACGCTCGGGAGCTTTACATCGCGGTGAGCACCGGTTCCGAGCATGCAGGGTTGTCGGCTAGGCCTTCCTGCTCTGGTCGTGTGCGGCTTTCCCGACCGATTGAGTCGGACCGACCAAACGGCCATGATGCCGACCTTGGGCCGCAGGCCGGACAAGGTCGCGGAAGCGATCTTGGGGACCGGTGCATCCAAGTCCCAGGCAAGAATGTGGGGAGGGACGAGGCGCACCATACAGTGGAACGACCGGCTTGGAGAGTGGTCGGCATGGCTTGCATGATGCTTCGGGCACCGGCGGTGGGGATGCGGGAGTACCAGTGACGCGGCGGCTTCGGGACGGCCGGGTGATGGGGCGATGTCAAATCGCCGGGGCGCCGGGGCATGCGGGGGTCCCGAGGGCCTGGTGTACGGGGGCGATAGGATGACGATGCTTGGGGGAGGCTGTGAGGGAGCTCCGAAGCTTGCGCAATTGCAGTGCACAGTCCCAAGAGCCTAACTCCCCCAAAACTCATCGGTTTTGGGTGGTAATGGCATGTAACTGCTCAGGGGAGCATAGGAAATTGAATGGAATGCCTTTTCCATTCTTTCTATTGTCAATAGATGAAAAAATGTTATACAAAGAGGGAAAGGAACTGGACTTTAAGAATCTGGGGGTTTTGGGCAGTGACAAAATGTCCTTGAGATATAGGGCATTGTTGGGACTGCTGGAAGCGATGAGACCAAAGGGAAAAGGCTACAAGGAGTGTCCAAGTGGTAAAGGGAGGCAGTGCATTTGCCTCTATCTATCACAAAGATTATAGTAGGTGATTTTTCACATCAGAAGCGTTACAAGTGGGTACAATCACATAAAATAGGGGGTGTACGAGGTCAACCTTGCGCAGGGAAGATGAACGTTGACCTGTGCGACCATTCAACTTGAGTCGAAGGGCAATATGTTGGCCGAGGAGGACCCCGTTTAGGCAGAACGCAAACGTACCCAAATCCAACGAAGGGCGTTGGGCCTTCCCTTGTAGCTGGAGGTCAAAGAGAAGGTTGCTCAACTTGAGAACCCCAAGACACGGTGCAAGCACCCCCTTGGTGGCGAGGAATACATTTATAACCCACAGGGCAGGAGGATATACGACCCAGTTTGGGTTGATGCGTTCCACCTGCGCAATGCACTAGTGGATGAGTGGGAGAGGGCCTTGGCCTATGCTGAATCCATACAGAGAGCAGCGACCGTGCTGAAGGAAAACCTCATGGACAAAGTTGATGTTCTTAAAGGAGTTTCAAGGGAAGACTTCGTGGAGGAGGCTGAACAAATGCGCAGAATAGTTGTGGAAACTCTCGAGGGGGTGACCAACAACTTCGAAATCAGACTGAGAGACCTTGAGCATCAGGCAACAACCAAAAATCAGTTGGTGCTACAGAGGGCGCACAAGTTGATGCGCCAGAAGAAGAGGAACCTTGAAGACAAGGTGGCTGTCGAACACTTCAAAATGCATCGCTATTCGATGGTCAGGGAGACAGAAGTTCAATGCACACAACTTCAAGAACTGTGTGAGACGGTCGACTTTTTGGAGGAGGTGCACAATGATATCAAAGTCAAGGAAGACTTCAAGGAGCTTTGGGAGGCAAGGCAGATGCATGAGAAGCGCGCCAAGGAGGTTGACCTTTGGATCAACAAAGAGAAAGCATGCATTCTGGCGAGGGACTGGCTGGCCGGGGAGGAAGAACCAGACGTTGACGATGCTAGACCCCCGCTCGCGGGCTAGGGCAATGGAGCTGGCCAAGGAACCATGCCCGTGGGTTAGGAGGCGTGCTGACTGACCACAAGGCCTGAGTAAGCATCCTGATAGGCTGAGCTGGACATGAACGAGTGCTGGCATGTACAAGTTTGGCGTCAGGGAGTCCCAAATATTGCTGACTGGGATTGGACGTGTTTAAGTGTCGTATAACGTACTGAAGTGACTCCCACTGCATACGACAATAACTGGTGTGGCAACTGGCAAAGGGGAATTCTGGGTGAAGTACAGTTCTGTCATAGAGCAATACTAGAAGATGGGGGTGCTGTGCACTTTGGAGGTAATACCAATCTAGAGGTGGCCACCCGGATCCGTTAATAGTGGACGAGGGCGCCCTCCGTTAAATATCCGTTAATTTAGCGGACCGCGCTTTCTCTGTTGCTGACGTGGCACGGATGGCAGTGGACGGCTGGCCCCAATCAGCGGACTCTGCGGATTCCACTTGGGTGTTAACGGATATTCTCTTACGGACCGGAAGCCACGTACCCCATCCGCTAATCTAGCGGATGACAGCGGACGTATGTACCGAATCAGCGGATGACAGCAGAGCCCATGCAGTAAGTACTGATTTCCGAATCTGCGGATCGGGTTGATTGCTAGCGTGGCTCAGCTAGGGTCCACATACAGCGGACCTTGGCGGTGACTGCGCACATAATTGGTTGCCCTCCTGTTGGTGGCTCGTGTGGCGGCAGGGGCAGGAGACGGCGGAGGGTATGGACCCAGCACCTGCTCGGCCAGCAGGTGAGGCATACCGCGCAGTATACCATCGGCCAGGGCGACGCCCTCGGTACCGCCTGCTTTGGCGGGGAATTCCGGGCCGTGGGGGGTGTTGGGGGGTGTTTGGGGGGGCCTCGGATGATTTGTTGGCGAGAAACGCAATGCGTGGCGGATGCAATCCGCCCGGTGATACTGCGAGCATAGCCAGCACTATCGCTTTTCTGGCGGGGCAACGCCCTGCGGTGCCACCGCCTACT